AGCCCTTGGGTGGCTCGTGGTTTCCGAACCAGAGGCGCCCTGGGAACAGCTCCCCTCCCCACACCTCTTCTCTTTCCTTTACAAACCCTGTTACCCGGCGCGCCCACCCGCGCCGCGGCCGCCGCTGCGGTTCCCCGCCGCCCGTTACGTCTTGGGCCTTGGGGGAGCGTCAGAGGCAGCCAGGCGGTCTGGGGTAGCGAGGGAGGCTGTGCTGTGGTGAGGCAAGAGTCCATAGCAGCCCTCAGGTATTCGATCTCCTGCATTCTTAACCCTCCTGGCAGCTCCGTTATTAGCTTCCAGGATAAGAATGAATGCCAGAGAAAACTGTTGATTAATCCAAGATGTGGAGCTCTTTTCTCGTGGCTCTTCGTTATTTCACGTCTTCAACATTTATTTAATAATTAGTCTTAATAATTAGTGAAGGTTTTAAACGGAACTGTGAGTACTCAGGGTACTCAAATTAATCTGAGGGACTCGAATGAATCATGAGAAATGAGGTGCTGTTTGTTGTGCTGGGTTGTTTCTGTCCCGGGGACGTGTACGGTATTCCCTTGATAACCAATGTGAAGATAAGTTACCATTAAGGTAAACTTTCCCAGGAAGTAAACATAAGGTGATCAGCAGCTTCGTGGATGGAAGAGTCGATAACTAGATGGGTTAAAAATGAATACTGACCTGGTGATGTTTAAATGTAGCTTCAGCGCTTTGCTTCTGTCTTGATTGAATTCGTTGAATGATGAGTGTTGGCGCTTAACAGCCTATGTTTACTCTGCTTTCTCTAAGCTCTTCCACAGCAAATTAAGTCTGTCAGATACTTCAGGCCCTCGCTCCTGTATGTAGGATCTTAGCTGCATTCTTTTTGGGTGTCTTCCAAGCATTTTTTGCCCTTCAGTGCAAGCCATTCATGGGGAATTTTTAGTATAGTGAACTGGTATGTGCTTGTCTTGCACCAGCAAACTCGATTGCTGGCTTTATAATCAGCTGTGATCTTTTTATGGTGTTAAATATGTAGTAGAGAAAATACTGGATTATGTAAAATTTTTGCATAAGCACTGGAAGTGATTATTGCATCCCGTTGTTTTCATTATCTGAGCTTCTATCCAGGAATATCGTGAATAAACCTTAGACATGCTCTGATTAAGAATTAAATTTTCCTTTAAGTGGAAAACTGTTGCTGTTTGGTAGGAGACAGTTGTCACTGGAGGACAGACATCACCGTATGACGTGGTCCTTGGACGTGATACACCGGGCTGCTTTTAGTTGTAAGGTTTTAGGTAATGTTTAGGAATTTGTTTTTATTTTTACTTTTAGTACTGTAACTTATTCTTTAGTACAGCTGTTTCTGTAGTGGTGGCAGTGATCTGGTTATTACAGCGTTTTTACTGTTGTAGGACTTGGGCTGTCAAATATTTGACTAAAAAAAAGCCTAATGCAGCAGCCAGTTGCAGTTCTTCAGACCAAGCTACGCTGCTTCTCAGGCTGTAGCAGGGATATTGGATGAAAAACTTGTAGAGGCCGCCTTTACAGCAGATCTTTTCCAGTAACATCTTAGGATAAGATTGTTTTTCAGCCTCTGTGATGCAACATCACCAGAATTTGGGAAGGACAGGAGATCCTGTGTGTCAGTGGATTGCCAGTTGGGTTTGGTCAAGCACAAGCTGACAAATGAAGAATTGATATTTCTTTTGCCATCCCAGTTACATTGTACATCTATTTGGGCTGTGCTAGGACCAAAGTTTACGTTACAAAGGCCCATCATAAAAATCAGTGGCCAGATTCAGGTTTCAGGAGGAAAATTGTGATTTCCTGGGAGGCTTGAAGAACTACTGGACTTTGGCTTTCCAGATGGCTTAATCTTATTTATTTAGCAGGTTTTGTGTTATCCCTGTAGCTGGTCTGGGGGCGCTGGGACCAAAAGATAGCAAAGCTGCCTGGAGCTGCTTAGTTTCCCCAGCTGTATTTTAAGATTGTAAGATTTCAGATGTGTTTACTGTTGATGTTCTTGAATGTATAAAGCAGAACTGTTCTGTGTGCAAGTATAGACACTGATCTCTTTGTTCAGAGACAGCCAGAATTTCTGACCATGCTGGACTTTGCCTCTGAGCACCTTCAGCCTGGACAGCTGCGTGAGAGGAGAGCAGTAGGCAGACTTTAGGGATGGGAGCTGAAGATGCAAATGGTTCTTTGGTCGTTCTGCTCCTTTGTAGGACTGGTTTCGAAGCTGCTGGGGCAACTCAGGGATTTTTGCAGCCTGTGCCAGAGCATCAGGTTGTCCCTTGGTTTGCATTTGAAACTTGCTCCCTGTGAACCAGAGCTGTGCCTGAAGGACCTGCAAGTCACGTGCAGTTTGAGCCCTGCAGTTTAGCTTTCTGTTTTGGATGGATACATGTGCATTTCTCTATCAAACAAGATTTCTTCTGTGAGAGATTGCCCTTCCCCTTTTTTAAATGTGATAATGCCTTTAAAAATAAGTTTTTTTGGAGGTCCCTTGAGAGAAAACAAAAAATTTTGAGGTTTTTTTTAGGTGTGTTTTTTTTTTTTTTCCCCAAAGCCATCTCTTGTCATGTTGCATATGTAACTTTTGGCCATTGTTGCAAAGATACTTTAAAACTGGTGTTGCTGACCAGTAAGGGAAAAATTCCTGAACAGCTTTGCTTTATTATTTTTTTTTTTTAATTGTTTTAGCTAGTGGACTTGTAAAGAGCCCTGTAAAAATGTATTAAGAAGAGGAAGATAAATTACATAGTAACTGGACTTGAAAGATTCTGTGGATCAGTGTTCAGTTTTAAAATCTTGGTGATTCTTCACGTTCCTTTACTCTTTTCAGGTTAAAGATACAATTTCGTGTGTGTGTGACCAATGCTCAAAAGCTTTCATTAAATAGTTACAGTTACCAGCTTGTCTTTTTTTTTTTCTTTCTTTTTCTCTGAATATTTAACCTGGTGCCTGGTAACTGTTGTAATATTTTAGAAGATGTCATAGTCACGCCAATAAAACACAATTTTCTCCTGAAAATGATTTATAACTGTTAAGCTGTTATTCTTTGTTTGCATTTATGTTTTCACTGAATGCACTTCAGTTGCAATGTGACCTCTTTTGTTAGTGAAACATTTCAGATACTACTGGTTTTAAATTTTTATTGCATCATTAAGGTTTTATGTATTAGCAAAACTGGTTTCCATAGTACTGCAGTTTAAAAGTTTTGTTCAGATTAATGCTTCAGAAAACTTGGAGCGAGCTAATTGAAGGTGCCAACTTTCCAGAGATGAATTCTTCTTTAATATTGAAAACAACCACAATGATAAAATTATAATGTGCTACAGCTCTATACGACTCGTTTTTCTGTATATGATGTTGTAAAAAAACGTACACAGATCAATAAGTTGTAGGAATTCAGGTGCTACGGGTTATTAAGGTATTGCAGAAGGTAAAAGGGTGATTCGTGTAGTTAGAATGTAAACTCCCTCTCTATAAAGAACGCTTGAATCTCATCCATAAATTTCATGTGTGACATTATCACTGCTAGGAAATCCTGAATGTCTTTGTCATGTGAACAGTCACAAATTTTTATCTCATTGCCATTAAAACTGCCAGTCGTATTTGGAAGTATTTCCAGCTTGCAAAATTGTCTCAAAAGAAGAATCAGGGCTCTGTGGCAGTATTTCTTTGTCCACAGAAATGTTCACTGAGCAGACACTGAGGACTGATGGTGAGAGTACAGTTGTTTAACCATAAGCTGTATTTAAAAGTTATATTGTTGTAAGTATTTCAGTTGATGAACTGAAGACTTACAGAAATGATTATTCTAAGGAAATCACCAGTATTGCTATAATTATTCTTTCTTGTATAAATAGTTGCTACTATAACATATGTTTATACCCACCTAATTGCATTTAAAACAAGCTATATATCATTTTAATTACACTGGTTTTGCTGGAGTGGTACAACTTTATGTTGCAGACCAACTTTATGCCTTGAGGTTGGGCAATTAAATCTGTAAATGTTTGTTCCACGTGTAAATGGTTGCTTTCCTCAGATTTCAGAGTATGCTGTAGTGTACTGCTCTTGCGGTGGGATGCTGAGATGCTGCCACCTATTTAGCTACTTCCCAAAACTTTGCTATAAAGCACTTGGGAAGGTACACTTATGTTCTGTGGCCTGCTGAAGTTCCTGTTGGTGGTTCAAAATTAGGTAGGCTTGACTTGGAGGCAGTTCTTCTGTGGCTTATCATTGTTAGAAATCCTGTATTATTCTAATTATCTTTCCTTCTTCACGCCTCTAGCGCGTGAGGTATGCTCTGTGGCAGCCTTGCACAGGCGGTGGTTGCCATAGTCAGCAGGAGAAGACTTGCTGTTTTGAGCTGATATGCTACTGCCAGCCCTCAGTAGATGTCTAAATGTTGCAGAGAGTGGGTTGCAGTCTTGTGTTGAGTCTTCAGTATTTGGAGTATATAGCCAGTTTCTAATTTTGAAAGTAACTCGTGATTTGTTCATGATTTTGAACTATAATCTGGAGGATGTTTTTATTCTTACAGGAAGGAAGAAACAGAAGCTTGCCAAAGAGAGAGCAGGGCTTTCCAAGGTAATACTGTGTTCAGCAATGCAGTGCTATTTGGAAAGGTGTTTCATTTGTAGTATTTGTAAGATTTGTTTAAAGATCTGATTTGATTCCAGTGTTACAGACACTTCTGCAAATGTGCAGTCTTCAGTTTTTTAATGTTCCCAAATAACCATATGATGTGGTTGTTCCCGTTTTGTCATATAGAGGCCTTGTACTAGAAAGTACATCATTTACTGTGTGACTTGATTGTATTTTCCTCTTTATAATATGTGTAAGAACTTTTCAGGCTTAAAAACCATTGATGGGATACAGCTACAACTGAACTTGTTCGTTTTTTGGTACAGACACTTGATTTCTCTTTCCTTACCACCAATGGATTTTGAAAGAAAAGATAGATTTATCTTCACCAATTGTCAGAAATATAGTTGTGATAAACGTAACACACCTTAGAATTTATATTCCAGCTGTAAGAAATACAGTTGTGATAAAAGTAACACACCTTAGAATTTGAATTTGTGTTTGCTACAAAAATGTGTACATAATAAACTTGAGTAGAGGTTTCAGGCTCTGTCTTTCTACAGATTTGCAGTGCAATGACATGAGACTAGAGTCTGATTTTCAAAGACATTCTGTGTGTGTTTAACTTAGTGATGACACTTAATTTTTTTTTTTGCTAGTTTTGGTGTAAAAGTATGGTTGTGTGTGTGTTTGATTTCAGTTGAGAATGTTTTCTGCTAACTTGTTTGTTAACTGATGTTTAAGGGCCAACTTCAGTTTTACTCTGTTTGTTTCAGCTGCCTGATTTGAAAGATGCTGAAGCAGTTCAGAAGTTTTTCCTTGAGGAGATTCAGCTTGGCGAGGAACTATTAGCTCAAGGTAATAGCACAATTTTTTTTGAAGGGTAAGTTGTAAAATCATTTTTCTTTACCTTTGCTGGAAGATCATTTTTATATACTAAGATCTTCTGTTGAGCCAAATTCAGTTAGGAAAATCTGTCTACTTGTTTCTGACCACCTGTGTTCAGAAAATCCAGCAAGGGATGAGGAAAGAAAAGCGTGGATTGATTCTCAGTAATTTCAACATCCACTGTTGATGGTTGTTTTATGTAAATACTTTACAGTATGGAAGAAGGCTGATTTCAAAACATGATTTGTCACACAGGTGAATATGAGAAAGGTGTTGATCACTTGACCAATGCCATTGCTGTGTGTGGGCAGCCGCAGCAGCTACTACAAGTTCTACAGCAGACTCTTCCACCACCAGTGTTTCAAATGCTTCTAACTAAGCTCCCTACAATAAGCCAGGTATGTGAAACATTCATTCCCTGTTGTTTTAGTTTGAATATAATTGAACTGCTTCTCTTACCCACATCAGTGTTGAGTATTGGTTTTTGTAATATGTTTTTTTTAATCTGTTAAATGAGGTTAAAATAAGGGGTTTTTAATCTGAAACAATAAGAAGTGTATAAAAAAATATAATGTAGCATTAATAGTAAACAGGGTAAAATAGAAATACAAAACTTCTCCCATGTGTGGGGTATGCTAAGCTCTTCTAAAGTACAAAGATCTGACCATAGTTCTGATACTATGAGTGGATCCGCTGTTTCCCAAATACAAGTTGGGGGATCAGAAAAGCAGTAACTTTCTTGCACTGGGTCTTGAGTTTTATTTTTTTAATTATGTATTTACAAGTGTCTGTAAGTGCTATAAAAGTCTGTTAGAATTAACCTGTTGCTTTTGCTAGCCTGTTGCTTCTGGGCCAGCTATAAACCCAAAATATTAACTAGCACCAGAACACATGGCAGTTTTGAAAGCTTGGGGGTTTCCTTGATGATAAATTGTTTGTAGCTCCATCTATGAAATGCCCTTTTTAGCCTGAGTGCTGTGTAGGTAACATTGGCCATATGCTAGCAGATGAGTCTATTGTAAAATAAGTTGTGTGTGTTACATTCTTGGAAGTGCAAGGGTGCTCCCTAATGGTGTTACCTCACATAAAGCAGAGGCTCAGTGCTGTGCATCAGTCAGCTCTCTTTACAGCTCAGACCTGGTTATGTTTTGGTTTCAGGTCTATATAATTAGTGAAAACACTGAAAAGCATCGGGTATGCAAGGTGTAAAGTTCTGGGGAAAAAATGGAGCAAAAATGTTTCCTGAGAGAACAGTGCCAAAACCCACACAGGTCATCAGTTGAGGCTGATAGGATATTATTTATCTGACTTTGGCTTTGTTAGCATTGCACAGTATGTAATTTCTGCAGAACTGACTTCAGAAGCTTATGTCAGATCGAGTGCCATTTTTAACATTAATCGGTTTACTCAGTAATTGCACTGCTTAATGTTCAGTGTAAAATTACATTGCTTGATAATCAGTTGCCTACTGTCGATTTTATGTAATTGTGAATGAGTTTTTCTCCTTCTTACAGAGAATTGTAAGTGCACAGTGCTTGGCTGAAGATGATGTTGAATGAGGTCACACCACAACAGGGGGAAAAAATGTTTTCTTACCCCAGAAGATGAGCATCAGTAGGGGGATAAAGGGGCAAACATAGTAGTTAATGAACTGTGTACCACATTGGGTTCTACCAGAGTTAAAATTAACTTTGTGTAGGTGGGTTTCGCAGGATTTTATTTATTATCCCAGTGAAAAGTGTATTTTGATAAGGATTCATTTTATAAATACACTGTGTTGAGTTATCAAAGTATCACCAACTTCATTATTATTAAAATATGCAGTCGTAATGTTGTACATATAAAGATATAAAACTACAACCTATGAAAAACCCAATGCTCATTTTTGAAAAAACAAAGTTATGGCAATAAAGATTTATCTGCACTTGTGTCTCCCTATAGTACTACTTTAAATTTCAGAACATTTGGGTGTCAGAGCAAATGATCAAAAAATGACTTAACATTAAAATTTATTTTTAATGTTATGGCTGGTCTTCCAATGCTTTTAATTAAGTTTGAAACCCTGTGTAATTTCCTGAGAAAATAGACATATGATCATTTAAACAGTAACCGATCACCTTAGAAAGAGATGCAGATCAGAATGCTAATAGGTGACTGGCTGCAGAAAGCATGACAAATCCATATCTGTCAGGAACAATAACAGCTAAAGTGATGCAAGTCAAAACTGCAGCTGGCAAACATGAGAGCTCTGTTAATGCAGGTGTCTGAAATAAAGCTGTTTGGAATAGAACCTGGGGCAGACTGTAAGAGCACAAAGGTTGTTTTTTTGGAAAGCCTGAAACCTTTTTGCAAGACAAGCAGTTAACATTTCAGTCTCTAATCTTCAAGACCATAGAAAATGGTGGTTAACAGTTGTTGGCATTTGCCTTTAAACAAATTGCACTGATAAGGTGAGACGATGATATCCTCAGGCTAAACTAGCTAAAGCTAATGGAATTGGAAAGATGATGTAACATTTCCGTGTGGTGTGATACAGTAAACTTGAATTTAGGTAAGTTTTCCTTTGCCAGTGGAAAGGAGGCAAAGAACATACAGACTCGAGTGAGTAGCAGAAGCATACTTCTGAAAGCAGGTTTTCCATGGACAGAAGATTGGCTTCTGCTGTTCTCTGGTTTTGTGCTGTCACCACTTGGGTGGCAGAAGAAACAAGTAAGAATATAGCTTTGTCTTTTTGGCATGCTGACTGGTTGTAACTTGAGGAGAACGCTTCGAGGTGTCTGTCTTTCCCACCAGCTAATAACTTGTGCTAATGATGCCGATACATTTATAGTAAGGTAGGTGGCAGAGTTCAAGTAGAAGTGAGATACTCTGAGAGCACCTTAGCCAACATTCCCATCTGTCTGTTTCATTTCAGCCTGGTGTAAGTTTCTGTAAAGGTGAATTCTTCCAAACCATAGGGCTCAGCGTTTTGGAAATTGCCTCACATGGGATTTTTGAGAGGTTAAGTTAGTTCCTGGTTACCTAGCAGTCAAATACCCAAGTCTGGGAGTAGAAATGGCTGTTAAATGAGTGAGTCTGCTTAGACAACTTGCCATGGAAGAGATATTTCCCCCTTAACCCCTTGAAAACACAATTTCTTAAGATTTGAGGTGCTCTTGAATCTTCCTGTAATGAATCAAATACAGAAGTTAATGGCTAGTACAAACAAAAATTTCTTGAACAGCTGCTGCAGTTTAGTCTTTTTGTTGTGCATGAATTGTTCAGGTAGCGTAAGGTGAAAGTAAAGCTTAGTAGCCTTAAGCTTCAGGTGACAATGGCTGGTTTGCTCTTTTGTTTTAGAGGGACAAAGTTATTCTGCACCTAGAATACTTAATAAAAATACTGTGAAATTGCAGAAGGTTCCTTTTTTTTAATTAAGCTTTTTGGAGGAGTTTTTCTTTTCTAACCCTTAAAATTAAAAAGTAAGAATTCATAGGTTATGCTGATAGAACTGACAGCCTGTTTACCTGCTCTCCTTGCTGGTGGTGGGTGGTCGCTTCAGTGTAGTATCTTTTTGATTCTGCTTTTAACATCGTTGTAAGGTAAATCAAACTCTTCCACCCTGCCTTGAAAAACAAACCCAAGCATCATAAGACAAAAGTGTCACCCTTCCTTCAAACCAGTTTTCTATACTCTTTGGTATAACGATGACAATTTGAATTCACAATTTAGCCTACAGCAAAGCTCTCCTGAACGAAGTATGTTTTAGCAAACCTGGGTGTCAGTTGTGGTTTTGATGGAAGATGTGGCGATAGTCTGATTATGTCTACAAAGAATCATTGCTTTAATAAACATCCCAGACACGTGTATTACTCTAACCCTTTTTTAGTTTTCTTGATCCCTCAAAGTTAGGTGCAAACAAAATTTTAGATAGCATAGGTTTGAATGAAGCCTTAAGAAGTACAAATTTGCTCCCACATTTGATAACCCAGAAGTACGTGGTTAGTGTGCTGGTGCAAGCCCTGATACCTGTTTTGAGTGCCTTGGCTGTTAGAGTGGGAATCACACAGAATCACAGAATGGTTGAAGTTGGAAGGGACCTCTGAAGGTCATCTAGTCCAACCACCCTGCTCAAGCAGGGACTCCTAGAGCACAGGAACCAGGATTTTGTCCAGACGGTTTTTTAATATCTCCAGGGAGGGAGATGCCACAACCTCTCTGGACAACCTGTTCCAGTGCTCAGTCACCCTCACAGTAAAGAAGTTCTTCCTTATGTTCAGGTGGAACTTCCTATGCTGCAGTTTATGCTCGTTGCCTCTCATCCTATTGTTGGGTGCCAATGAGAAGAGTCTGGCCCTGTCCTCTAGACACTCTCCCTTTAGATATTTATAAACATTAATCAGATCCCCTCTGAGCTGTCTTTTCTCCAGGCTGAACAGGCCCAGCTCCCTCAGCCTTTCCTCATATGAAAGGTGCTCCAGTCCTTTAACCATCTTAGTCTCCCTTCACTGGACACACTCCAGGAGTCCATGTCCTTCCTGTACTGGGGAGCCCAGAACTGGACACAATACTCCAGGTGGGGCCTCACCAGGGCTGCCCTGGCCACAAGATCACACTGTTGGCTCATACTTAACTTGTTGTCCACCAGGACTCCCAGGTCCTTCTCCCCAGGGCTGCTTTCCAGGAGGTCAGCCCGCAACCTGTACTGGTGCAAGGGGTTATTCCTTCCCATATGCAGGACCCTGCACTTCCCCTTGTTGAACCTCATGAGGTTCCTCTCTGCCCATCTCTCCAGCCTGTTGAGGTCCCTCTGAATGGCAGTGCAGCCATCTGGCTTATCCAGCACTCCTCCCACTTTAGTATCATCAGCAGATTTGCTGAGGAGGCACCCTGTTCCTTCAGCTACGTCATTGATGAATAGGTTGAACAACACTGGACACAGTATTGACCCCTGGGGACACCACTAGATACTAGAATGATGAATCCTTTTAAGGTTTTTTTTTCCAGAATCTCATAATGAAGCTAATACTTTACCAGCTTTGAAAACATGAAGATATTGTCTAGAATGGGAATTTGCTGTTGCTCCAACAATGTCAGGCTGACAGCAGTGTAGCTCGCGTGCACAGCCCACAGATATAGAAGGCTGTAATTTAGAACTGGTTTCAGACCTAAGCAACTTCAGTCATTGGAAGTGCAGTGGTAATGACGACTGTTATTGCATCAGTAATGCCATTGCATTAGCTGTGTGTAGTACCATATTTCTTTTCACCTGTGCAAATTAAAAAAAATTGAGAGTGAACCGTTCCAGTTGTGGATTTGCTGGTGCTGAGTCCACATTTGTTATCTTATTGTACTGCAGGTAAAACTACTAATCTTTCTCCCAGAAAGAGCCATCTTCCCTTCCATGGTGCTCCAAGAATAAGGCACCTGTTTCCAGCACTAAGAGGATTTCTTATAAAGGACATCAGAGACCTGTTAGTTTTACATTGGGAAGTCTCCTATTGATCAGTTACGAGCTTCTCAGGCAGCTTTTATAGGAAAAAAACCCAACTAATTTCATGATTATGCAGGACTACCTTTGATGTCTCACCATTAACTTTTCTAGATAATGGAATTGTATCCAAACCCAGAGTGATCAGGCACACACTGAATCATCTGGCACTAATTTCCTTACCCTAAGGGATGACAGAATATTATTGTTGCCCTTAACTTGAAAAATGGATTAAGTCCCAGCCCTGCTGCGTAGGAGGCCAGCTAGCCATCATCAAAGTAAAGCTCCAGCTATTTATGCACCCAGAAGAATCTTTTCTAAAGTTTCATTTGTACATCTGTTGATGGTGTGTTTAAAGTCCCTTAGGCTGAACAGTGGCTCTACAAGACCGTTGTCTTGGAATTAACATGAGTTAAACTTCAAGGGAGTCTTTGAAGTGGTCACTAAGTGCTTTTAGTGCGTGTTTCAAAGGCATGTTGTACTGTACATGCTTCTACGTTTTTAAACATATGGATATGAAAAGGACTGATGTGAAGAAAAAAAAAAATATTCTTCAAGGCATCTGTTGTACCCAGGTCTTGGTTTGGTTTTGAATTTGTGTGTTTACGCTGACCAGTATGGCTTATGGTCTCCTTTATGCAGTGGCCAAAGAAAGCCTGTCAGCAGAGCAGTCAAATCTGAGCAACAGCCTGTCGCAAGGGACTGAAACCTGTGCTTAATTCCTGAGGACTGGGCTAGCTTTCATCAGAGGCATCCGGATACTGACCTTCTGCTGGGGGTAACAGCACTTGTTTTCTGCATTTGTGCCAAAACAGACCTTCCCAAAGAAGATCACCAGTGGACATCTGGTGCTGTTCTCAGAGGGCAGAATTTGTCCTGTGTATGAACGTGTGACTGAAGCCACGGAAAACAGCTGGCCCTTCCGTGATGTTTCTGTACCAAACTGTCCGATGTACTGGAGCTAGATAACGGGCAGCTTTTTCAAAGTGCAGTGGTTTCCATATGTTTTTGAAAAAAAAATTTGGGTTCTCACTTCTTTCCCTGCAGTAGAGGTGTACAGATGCTAGTTTGACAGAATATTTACTGGCCAGCTTTTGATAAGGTCACTACCCTGTTTTCCGATCACTGCAGTAACCTAATGATCACGAACTCTTAAAGGTTTCTGTGCTGTAAGCTCTTGACTCCAGACGCACAGTTCCAGTTCCTGTTCTGTAAAGGTCAGGCCTTGGTTTAACGGGCTGACAGATGCATGTCCTCCTGCAGCGCTCACTCGCAATTACCCTCGTTTCCTCACAGCCGAAGGACGTTCTTGACGATGCCAGTTGGTGCTCACCCACCACACGATAGTTGCTGACTGGAGTGCTGTTGCAGCCAGCACAGTGTTGCTGCACCCTGCAAATCTGTCTGGATGGGTCTATGCTGCAAGACAGTTATGAGTGGCTTTCACATGTGAAATTTCTACTGGGCACGGAAGCAGAAAACAGCTGAAGTCAGATAGTTCTGCCTCTTCACAACTTGGACCCTTACAACTGAAAAATGATGTGGTCACACTAT